GGAATATAAGATAGAAACAACATCAAACCTGGATTTACGGTTTGCTTCTTGATCATCATCATCCAACTTTAAAAGTAATTCACAAGCTGCCTTTGTATCAGTTGCATCAAAGAAGAGCTCTTTAAGCTTGTCATAAGTATGATCAAGCCAAAAGCTCTTACCATTCTCAGGCAAAAGCATGGCAGGACGCATAGCCAGCAGATACATCATGTAATTTGATACACACTTACTGATGTTCATGACGCCTTCAGGGCCTTGAGAGTCATCGTGATGGTAGCAAACACTCGTGGCAAGGTGCCATACTATGATACTATAGTCGAAGTCCGATTCGACACTCCGTTTTAGCTTATCATATTGGTGTCGCGCCTGTAGTGCCCTTTGTCCCCTTGATGTCTTGATGGTATTGCCATCGGGAGAATAGGAAACTAATGAGCCAGGAGCGTAAACCTTGTCAAAATTCTTCAGATCACTTGGAACCTTTCCAGACTGAGTATACGTATGCCAGCATTTGTGCCACATTTCAATAAGATCACTGCAAGTAGTGATCTTTTGTAGACAAACACATGATTTGTTCACGTCCTTTTTCTTGTAATGCCAACAGTACTTCAGCAAATCAAATTGTCCCATGTGATCTGACCATCTTTTTCTTTGATTCATAAAGCAAGGGAAGCACTTTACGACGACCCAGAACATTTTGCGTACCAACATATTATTATGAAGTGTAGCAGTAAGGATTGCCCTGACAGTATAATATTTGAGGGTATTTATGTACTTTATGTAGTGTAGTGCTGTATATACATATAAATATGTAACCCTAATTCTGTATTGGAATAAGAAGCATTATTCACGGTTTCATGGTATCAGAGCCGCAATTCGGGACCAAGTCTCTTTTTCAATTTTCGTCTTATTATCTAGGTCTCTAGGTCTTTGCCAACCTCTAGCTATGGCTTCTTCAGATTCAAAAACCTTTTCTTTGTCTGATTCTCAACCTTCTACCCCAATTCCTCTTTTTAATGCTGTCCCACCCACCACACTCACTCCACCTACTCTTTCGTCCTTTCCCCATTTCAATACTCTACCCACTCCAAGCCTTACACCGACTTATCATGCCTCATCCTCTTCCTTCTTTTCTCATCCCATGTTCACCATTTCAAATATCAAAACTTTTATTCCAGAAACCTTAACTCATGACAATTATATTATTTGGAAAGAGTTGATGATTCCTGTTTTCAAAAGCAAGGGGGTATATGGCCATATTGATGGTACAGATCTGTGTCCTCCACCTTTTCATCCTAATCATGACGCCTGGGTACAGATTGATTACCAAATTTTATCCTGGATTCATGCCACTATTTCAACAAATATATTGCAGATGATTATTCAACCGGGTAAAACTCTTTCTGCCAAAGAAGCTTGGGATGCCATTCATACTTCTTATCAAAATCAGTTGGCTGCCAGAAAAATGTATGTTAAGCAAGGGTTCGTTTCTCTCCAAAAACAATCCAGCCAGTCTATGTTCCAGTATTTGCAATCTGTCAAAAAGGCAGCAGATAACATGTATGGTGTTGGTGAATGTTTGACTGACAGAGACATAGTATTTCAGGCTCTTGCAGGACTTGATGCTGAATATAGTGTTGCCAAGAGAACTATTCCACACAGATCTCCTTTTCCTTCATTTGTGGAGCTTCAATCTTTACTGCTTATTGAAGAATCAACATTGCAAAGAGAAAAATCTACCAGTGCTTTCCTTTTTGTTAACTCCAGTGCACAACAGGTGTTGCAGACCTCGGTTCACTCCTCTGGTATGGGCTTTCCAATTCCTGAGGCATATTATTCTGGTACTCAGTCCCGGCCTGATTTCTATGGCATGAACCGAGGCCGTGGAAGCTTCTATAGAGGTGGCCGTGGTAACAAACGAGGTGGTCGAGGTGGTCGAGGTGATCGTAGTTCACGTGGCTCCTTCTCAAATTTTGATTGTGGGTTCTATCCTGGAGCACCCACTAATCCAGGGTGTGGTTCCCCATCTTTCTCAATACTGTTGGGAATCCTTCCTCATCGCAACACTCATCTTATGGCCATCATTCCCCTCATTTCCGTGGTAGTAGTTTACCACCATTATTGCCGAATCCGTCCATGGCATCTCCACATGTCACTGCTTGTCAACTTTGTGATCAATTGACTCATAAGGCTCGTGACTGCCCTCTGCTAATTGGCACAAATATTGTCTCAATGTCTTCTGCTCCAACAGCGCTCATAGCCACAACATTCCCTACTGCTCCGGATAGCAAATGGTATATTGACTCTGGTGCTAATACCCATGTCTCTAGTACCCCTGGTAATTTCTCCCACTCCTCTCCTTACTCCGGTTCAAAGTTTATTTAGGTTGGCAATGGTCAATTACTTCCTGTCACTCATTCTGATAATACAGTGTTGTCATCGTCTAATCATTCCTTTAAACTTAATAATGTGCTTGTCTCTCCGCATCTTCGTAAGAATTTAATTTTTGTTCGTCAGTTTACTAAAGACAACAATTGTAGTGTGGAATTTGACGCTTCTGGTTTTTCTGTTAAGGATATCCACTCGAAGAATGTCCTGCTTCGTTGCAATAGTGCGGAGGGACTTTATTCCGTGTCTAGCTCATCTCAAAGTCATCCTACGATCCTTACTACTACAGTTGTGTCTCCTGATGTCTAGCATCTTCGTCTTGGTCACCCCAGTTCAGACTTTGTTACTCAATTGGTTCGTCGTGGTTTAATTTTGTCCAACAATAAAGTTCTTAGTTCAATTTCTTGTCATGCTTGTCAACTAGGGAAGCATACTCGACTTCCATTTAGTGACTCCTTGTCAACTACTTCAGCGCCAGTTGAGTTAATTCATTCTGATGTTTGGACTTCTCCTGTCATGTCTTTTATGGGTATTCGTTATTATCTTTTGTTCTTGGATGATTATAGTCACTATTTATGGGTTTATCCTTTACAATCAAAATCTCAAGTGTTTCCAGCTTTTCTTAGATTTTCTGCTTATGTTTCTACTTAGTTTGGTGCCCGGATTAAGGCTTTTCAATGTGATAATGGCCGTGAATATGATAATGCAAATTTCGCTACTTATTTTCAAACAAATGGCATTCATCTTCAATCTTCTTGTCCCTCGACTCCCCAACAAAATGGGAAAGCCGAGCGGATGAATCGAACAATCATAAATATGGTTCGATCTTTACTTTTTCAAGCAAACTTGCCTAGTGAATTTTGGGTGGAATCTCTTTATGTAGCTATTCACTTAATCAATATTTTACCTTGCTCTAGGCTACATTTTTCCACACCTCATGAGGCTTTATTTGGCACAGTGCCCTCCTGTGATCATTTACACCCTTTTGGTTGTGCTTGTTATCCTAACTTGTCTGCCACTGCTGCCCACAAATTGGCACCCCGTTCCTCTTTATGCATCCTTTTAGGATATCCTAGTCACCATAAAGGGTATCGATGTCTTGACTTAAAAACCCAAAAAATTATTTTATCTAGAAATGTTACCTTTAATGAAACTGAATTTCCCTACTCACCCTTTACGCCATCCCATTCTCCCTCATTTTTCCGGACTCCTTTTCATTTACTAGACAATACCTCTCCTAGCCCAGCTATGCCACATACCTATCCCAACTTTCCTAGCCCAGCCATGCCTTCCACTGGCCCAACTTGCCCCGGCCCACCCTCTCCTGGCCCAACTTCACACCAAACTACCACACCCACCAGCCCCACACCTATTGCACCCACCAGCCTTCTCCCGGTCTCTGCCTCCATCGTTCCCAGCCCTGTGCCACCTCCTGCCGTCTCCTCGTCCCCGTTCCTGCCAGATCTGCATTCCACATCACCATCCTGCGGTGTTGCGCCTCTTGCTTCCGCCCGATCTGGGTTTGGGCCTGATGCTTCTCTCTCCGCTGCTTCCATTGGTGATTGCACTGGTTCTGATGATTGCTCTGTTTCGGCTCCTGCTGCTACCCTGTCTTCTTCTGTTCCCTCTACTTCCTCGACTAATGTTCCTCGGCGCACCCATGGTATGGTGACTCGTTCACAGGCCGGTGTTAGGAAGCCAAAGATCTTGCCATCTTTGCTTCATACATCTACTGATTTACAGGAGCCCAGGACTTTTAAGCAAGCTTGTAATCTTCCAGAGTGGCAACGGGCTGTGCAAGAGGAATTTTTGGCTCTACAGCGCAATCACACTTGGGTTTTAGTTTCTCCTCCCTCCAGTGCTAATATTGTGGGATCCAAATGGGTATATCGTATTAAACAGCGAGCTGATGGCAGTATTGAGCGTTATAAGGCTCGACTTGTAGCGCAAGGGTATACACAGCAGCCTGGGATTGATTATGATGAGACTTTCAGTCCGGTGGTCAAGCCGTTACCATTCGCACAGTTCTTACACTTGCTATTTCCAAGTCTTGGCCAATTCATCAACTTGATGTTAAGAATGCCTTTCTCAATGGGTATTTATCTGAGCCTGTTTATATGTCTCAACCACCTGGATTTGTTGATCCGCAGTATCCAGATCGTGTTTGCCTTCTCCAACGAGCTCTTTATGGTTTGAAATAGGCTCCTCGTGCCTGGTTCCAGAGGTTTGCTGCTTTTCTTCATTCCTGTGGCTTTGTTCAGGCATATTCTGATTGCTCTATGTTTTTATATCGCTCAAATGGTATGCTGGCAATTCTGCTCTTGTATGTTGATGATATTATTCTCACTGCTTCTACACCGTCCCTTTTGCATCGAATCATCTTTTCATTGAAGCAGGAATTTTTTATGACAGATTTGGGTGTTATTAATTTTTTTTGGATATTACAGCATCTTTTAACCCTGATGGTCTTTTTCTTTGTCAAACTAAGTATATATTTGATTTGTTGGCTCGCACTGGAATGTCTGATTGTAATGCTGCTGCTACTCCTCTGTCACCAAGGCAAAAATTGGCTGCTTGTGATAGTCTTCCTTATTTGGATTCCACTCAGTACCGTAGCATAGTGGGTGCCTTACAATACCTGACATTTACTCGTCCTGATATTGCTTTTACGGTTCATCAAGTTTGCCAGTATATGCATGCTCCGACTCAAAATCATTTTCAAGCAGTAAAACGGATACTTCGGTATTTGAAGGGTATTGCTCATTATGGTCTCCAGTTATTTAAGGCATTCTCCCCTTCGTTGCATATTTATACTGATGCTGATTGGGCTGGTTGTTTGGAAAGTCGGCGTTCTACTTCAGGCTACTGTTTGTTTTTTGGCAAATCCCTCATTTCTTGGTCTTCTAAAAAGCAGAATATTGTTGCTAGATCTAGTGTTGAGGCTGAGTATCGTGCTATGGCTAATGCCGTTGCTGAGGTTGTTTGGGTTCAACAATTATTGGCTGAGTTACAAGTATTTCTCTCTTCTGCTCCTATTGTTCTTTGTGATAACATCAGTGCTCTCTATTTGGCTCTCAATCCTATACAGCATCAGTGAACCAAACACATAGAGATTGATGTTCATTTTGTTCGGGAACAGGTTGCTTCTCGTGCCATTCTTTTGCAGCATGTCCCCTCCTCTTTACAATGTGTTGATATTTTTACTAAAGCTTTATCATCCACTGCTTTCTGCTCTCAACGGTCCAATTTGTGCGTGCTTCATCAGCCCGCTCAAATTGCGGGGGGATGACAGTATAATATTTGAGGGTATTTATGTACTTTATGTAGTGTAGTGCTGTATATACATATAAATATGTAACCCTAATTCTGTATTGGAATGAGAAGCATTATTCACGGTTTCATGCCCAATCAGAAGAAAACATCACCCGTGCTGCAAAAAGTTCCAGAGAAATAGTTCCACCCAACAAGATGCTCGTTATGCAAATATCAACTGTTGAGAAATGGAATTTCGACTCGTTCATGATGCTGATCAAGAAGGGCAGCAGAACCGAAAAAGAGCAAGCGACGCTGGTTAGGCGCCAGAAGCATCCTGTCTTAGTGTAAATCAAAGCAGACTTGGTGTAAACAAAGTCAAATATCAACCCCAATTCAGCAGTAACAAACTTGAAAGGATCTTGCGATTGTCGAAAAATATAACCAATAAGAATCTCTGTGTGATTTTGCAGATCTATCCTGGATTCTTCGGCCTTTTTCCTTTCTAGTTCAAAATTTTCCTTGACACATGTTTCTATCCTTGTTATGGCAGTGGAAAGACTATAGGATAGGTAATTATTGACATCTGGTCTCATCAATGAAAAAAATAAATGGGCTGCAAACACATCTGAGTTTTTGCTTAGTAAAGCTTCAAAGGTAGGTTCAATCGCATTAGAATTGGGTTGTAAATTAATCAACAAAATTAAAGGAGGAAAAGTTTGGTTCTGTCTTTTGTGAATTAATGAGCTTAAGACACAATATCCTCTCTACATATTTAGCAATTCCAGCCACAATGAGGGGGAGAGTAAAAAATGAAAGCCAGGAAGAGGTCCATGACGAAAAAAATGATACAAATAACCAAACGACTTTGGCAACAAGGATGAGGAGGTGTTTAGGCCAGAGCTTGTTGTCTTCATAGGCGTAAGTTGTGATGGTGTCAGGACCACCAAGATGT